CGTCGAGAGGGGTGGGGTGGTGCTTGGGGAAAGGTGGCCGCAAGAGAAGGCTAAAGGGTGGGGGGTGGTCACTAAAAGGGGGAGAAAAGGTAGGGGGTGGGGATGAAAGGGGGTATACGTCGTTCCAGCGAGGGGGTCATCGACCCCTTGCACGGCGCGCGGGGGGCAACTGACTGGCCGGCCGTGACCTCTTCGACCGCGACCGGCTAGCCTATGGACAGCACTACCCCCGGCAGGCAGGCATTTTGTGTTCCACCGCGGGGGGTAGGGGGTGAGTGGGGGAAAGGGAGTGGGGGGCAAGGGGGCTCGCTGAGCCAGCCGCCGGCGCGCACTGGTGTCATGCCCGACCTGTAATGATGCCTATCGACCGGACAAACGCATTATATTGCCCCACGATACGATGGTGGAAGGTCGTGTCCTCCTCCTCCTCCCTCCCCCCCTCTCCTAACAGCGTAGGAGGGTACGGGCATCGCGCAGCTATCAATCACACGAACCTTTCATTACCTCCCCCCCCCCCTCCGCAGACGACTCCGGCGAGTCACGGTGCCCCCGCCTACTAGGCCACCCACCTCACACCAATCACACTTTCCCCTTCCTGCACCCAAAGACACGCCGACGTCGACGAATCGCGATACACGGATAGAAAAATTGCAGACATGACAAGTGGGTTGAGTAATACGGAGTGGAGAGACGTAAGGAGGAGCTACAAATTGTATAGTAGGAAGGAATAATACGTAAACAAACACGGAAAGACATGAGGAGTGGAGGAATCTTGGCCTTTCTCGGAGAGAAACAACCCGACCTGCAACTCCACTTACCTAGCTTTCCGTTGGGAGAGTAGGGGTCGTAGCTGCCGGACGACATGGGCGACGAGTAGCCGTTGGAGATGACGGTGTAGTGGTGGGGGTTGGGGCCGGGCGAGGGGGTGAGCGGCGGCGCAGCCGTGGCCGAGTCGCTGTGGCTCGGCGAGCTGTCCCAGTGGTCGGGGCTGGGCCGCTTGCCGTTGCCGTTCATGCTGGCGCCCTGCTCCGTCTTGATGCCGTTCAGGACGGAGCCGCCCACGACGGTGGCGGCGGCGCCGAGCCCGCCCACCACCGCGTGCACGCCGCCCAGCATCTTGTCCTCCGCGGGGCCGCAGTACATGTCCATGCCTGGGGGGCGAGCCGAGTAGGCCGGCCCACCGCTACTCGCGCGGGTCCAAGCCCATCCGCACTCCGTCAGCGCGCGCGCCCCTGCAAAACACACACAAAAGAAAACACTCAGTAAATGTCGAAATTTTCAAAAAAATTAAAATAAGATGGAGATTCCCGAACAGTTTGGAAAGCAGAGACGTACGATTTGTCCGAGTCGGACACCTTTCCCCCACCCCCGCCTCATTCCTCGGAACGTCTCCTACGAGAGCTCAACTGATGACCAATCTAAAGTTCGCACGCGTAAACATCACCGCACGCGCGCAAACTCCAAAGTAATAACACTTTCCAGTGTTTAGTGTGCTTGTTGTGCACTTTCAAGTGTTTCACAAAGCTTGTGCACTTGTGCGTGTTGCAGCTCCAGCGCTGAACACTTGATGCATCAGTGTAGCTGGCGGAGTCTCGGCTGCGAACCCCCGCAGGCCTCGGGGGAGCGCTATGCCGTTACCCGACACTTGGGTCAAGACACAACAAACGGCACGTAGACGCCACAGCGCGCCCCGCCCCGCCCCGCCCCGCCGCCCCGAGCGAGTCCCGCGTCTCCAGGTCGCTGCCGCAGCAACGGCCAGAGGCGTCAAGTGTCCGGCGAGGGCCGCGCCGCGTCAGCCGAAGACAACCACGGCCCGCTCTGCATCGGCAATTTCTCATGAATCGACGATCAATCCGATCAGATCTCGGCGTACAGGAGGGGATGGCAGAGAGCGTACCTCTCGTGGTAAAACCACAATGGGAAAAAAGGAACGTGGAGGGAAATGTCTCGCACCACTAACGGAACAAAAGCAAAAAAAATAAAATAAAAAAAATGAAAGAACGTGGTGTCCTAATGTCATCAGAGGCGATCCCGATAACGCTCTCGAAGTAGAGGAAGTGACGGCTACGTCGTGGGGGAGTGGTATCTCCGGGTATCTCTCCCTAACCCCACGAGCGAGAACATCGCGCGCGAAAACGCCTGCCAAAACGCGTCTGTCATCGTAAAAAAATGCAACTTCCTCGGAAAGTGAGTGGCACCGTCACCCACATGACCCCGCCACAGATCGTTCTTTTTCTTGCCCTCCGATAACGCTAGAAAAGACTGAAGCAGAGAGCTATACGGTTAAAATAAAAAACATCAAAGGAACGGAAGTTTATTGCCCGAACCGCGAACCCCCGCATTACTCTATATCTAGAAAGGTGCCATTCTTTGCTAATCAAGTAGTAACATCTAGTTTGCTGGTCTAACGCTTTGCTTTGTACTCTTTTTCCCAATAGAAAATTAAAGGTAGCTGACAACTTAACATTACTTGATTGTATTTAAATTAGTGTTAGTTGTTTAAGGCATCTGCTAAAAGTGTGTTTAGTAACAAAAGTGTAGGTAAAAGGCTTTAATTTACGATTAAATTAGTCAAATTAGCGCCTAGTTGAAGCAGATCGTGCAGTATTCTCCGCTAAGACAAACCCTCCAACCACTCGCGACTCTGCACGTGCCCCCTCGAGCACACGTCATATGTATCAGGCTTATTCACACCATTGCGGCATAGTCGACGGCGTCACCATCTTCCCCCTTATATCTTATTCACCCGTTTGAAAAAAAAAAATACAAAAAAAATACAGTAGTGGAAGTAAGAAAAACAGCACCGAAAAAAATTTATACATGTTGCGTATGTGGGAAGGACGGGCGTGTCTTCGACCGCTTCAAGGCCAGAGCGTGCAGCGGCGGCGCCGGCTCGGGGGAGGAACAAAGGCCAAATCGAGAATAAAATTTGCACGTTGTTAGGCCCGCGGAAGGCGCGCCGCGCTTGGGGCAAAGGCCTCTCTCCCCGCGGCCCAAAACACAGCAGCGCGGCGTGATGCCAAACTCGATACTGTGTCCCTTACCTAACGCGCCTAATACCATTTCACTCTACTCGCGGTACACACGGCGCATATCGGGAAACCACTGCAGAGATAACGGCCGGCGGGGCGACACCCTCGTGTGCCATTCGACCCGCGCTGTGAGAAATCGAGCGGGGAATGCCCGGCCGGCCGGCCCGAGTCCCGACCAGCGAGCGCGTGCCCCCGCGCCGCGCGTTGCGCCATCGAGGACGATAGAAGGGCCGAGGAGTAGTGCGGGGCCCGGCCCAGCCCAGCGGCCCACGCACGGTCGGAGAGAGAGAGAGAAAGTCACTACTTTCGCCGCACCGCGTGGCCTGCCCCCCGTGCCGTGTAGGTAGTAGGGGGCCCTCCTGGCTGCGGCCGGCGCCTCCCCGCCGCGCCGCGCGCGCTCGGAGGGGGGCGCGGCCGCGGCAGAGTACGTACGTCCCGCAGCGAAAACTTGACAGGATGGAGGCAGCGACGAGCAGGGGGCCGTCCTTAAAGGACAGGGGGTATTATGGGGCGCGGGGCCAACTCATCAGTCTGCAAATCAAACCGTACTGCAAGATCTCAGTTTTAACTGGAACAGTCCTAAACTTCAAACTGCAACTGCAATAATTTAACCACGAACAAAAATTTAATTTCTTAAGGCCGCTGGCTTTAAAGGAGCCTGAAAAGGTTCTATAGATACCTACTTTATTTCCATAAATTCTTATCGCGCATATCTGTTTCGATACAAATCGCAACCAACGGATTTTAAGACAGAGATGATACCGTTCTCAGAAATTAAATTAAATTTTCATTCATGGATAGAAAAGTTTGAAATTTTGCATTGTTAAGTCTTGCTGTAAAAACCGACACCATGTACGACAGTTTATTGATTTGCGGAGCAAGAGTAGAGCAGGGTGCCTCGTTCGCTCGTGGGGCCCAAACAGCCGAACTCATACGCCGCACAAGACACGACGCGCCCCCGAGCCTAGAGAGGCGTCTGTTTCCTTCTTCCTGCGTCGAGGGAATAGAAAACTCAAAACGAGGAAGCGGCGGCGAAAAACTTGCGTTATTTATCACCGAGGCGGCGGCGGCGCGAGGCCTTCGAGCAAGTGCGGCGCGGAGCGGACGTCCCTGATTACTAAGTAATCGAGTTAACAAAAGGCCCAGCAGCCACGTGACATTACTACGCTGGACATGTTCGAAAAAACACAAGGTATGAAAAAGTCACGACACACTGTCATCTTTACCGCCTTTGCGACAATACGCTGCTGGTCGATTACAGTACGCGAACGTTCCGCGCGTCGTCGAAAGACAAACGACTTCGTTTGCGACAGCGTCGTCGCTCGTTCGTTCTTCAAAGCGTTTGTGGTTCGCGCGACTCTCCCGCCTGCCTGTCTGCCGCAGTCGGACAGACCTGCTCCACGACGTGACCCCAGCCGGACCCCTGCCAGCCCCGCGCACCGCGTCAGCCCACCGCCCCGCCCGCCCCGACGACGCCCCGACCCACCGCGCGGGTGGATAACCTTTTCCCATTCAAGGCCTCCCGAGCAAGCAGCGCCCCAATCGGCCAATAATCGCAGCGCACAACCACCAGGGGGCGCTGCGTGCCGCGCAAGACACTTTTAAAAATTCTGCACCCAAGAACAGAATCCATACAGATCGTCATCCTGTACTTTCGTACTGTGGTCAAAATATGTTCAAATGGTATTTGAGTGACAAAGTCTTCACCATGCTTGAAAAGATCTTTCCTTCAGTATTAGTTACAGTCTGTCCAGCCTACAAAATCACACTGTTAAAAATATTAGCAGACAATTCTGTAGTGACTTGCGGTTGTAATATTTAACAAGTGGATGCGGGCGGAGGGCGAACCGTCACGAACACACAGCATAGCAGTCGCAGCGGCACGATCACCGCCCATAATTAATTGAGCGACCACTCGTCCGGAAACTCATATTCGCAATAAGCGTCAACAGGGCCATATCGCACGACGTGTGCACACATTATATGCGGCAAACATTGTAAAGGACACACGTCAACAGAAAAGATCGTATCGCAATTGCGCCAATAATAATAATTATCCGCGACCGCACACTCCACCGAATCACCGGCAACGTCGGGTCGGGGCGGGGCGCGGCGCCGGACCTACCGACGCTTCATAAATGATTCACCGCCCCATCCAACCTATCTACCCGCGCCCATCGGTCGGCCTCCTGCCGGCCTCATGCCGGCCTCCTGCCGGCCCGCCGCGAGTCCACCTGAGCGCGGCAGCGGCGCTGCTCTCCATATTTTAACAAGTTTCTTGCGCCGGATTAGAATTTTAAAGCGGAGCAGCGCAGACACGGGCGCGTCTCATTATGCCGCGCGACGAGTCCCTCTCTGCCAGCCGCGCCGCGACACCTCCGCCGTTCAAGTCGTGGTCGTCGTCACCCTGCTGGTCGTCGTCGCCGTGGTCGTTGTCGTGACGTTGACGGCCGAACCTTCCCCTCGCGGGCCTGCAAAGGTGTCGGTGTCGACGGCGGCGGCGCCCGCAGCTCCTGTCCGTCGTCACAACAGCTTTGGCCGACGGATACTCACTCTGCAACAGACAGAACAAACAGGAGGGTTAGTTACGGCTCAGCCCGGCTCGGCTCGGCTCAGCGACCCTTTGGCTGCCGGCGAGGTGTTTGGTTTGGCGCGGAACGAGGAAACGCAACACAACAGGGAGCGGGGGCTGGGCGCGCTGGGCGGGCGGCGGGGGAGGGGGTGACCCTGAGCACGCCGGGCGGGGCGGAGCGGGGCGCGGCCACCCAGCGGCGCCCAGGCCCAGGCCAGCAGCAGCGGGGCGCCGCGAGCAGCCCGGCGCAAGGGCCCGGCCCCTACGGCCCCACCCACCCAGCGCAGCAGGAGGAGACACGGGCTGCTGGTCCGAGAGAGATAAAGCAGGGCGATACGGGGCGCACGGGCGGCCGCGGCAGGACCACGTCACCTGCACTTAAGTCCGCGCGCAGCGAGATTGCAGCGCCGCTGCACTCTCTGCAGGTCGGACACGACGCCGCGCGGCCGCCCCAGTGCAGCGCCGCGGGGCCGCGTCCCGCCCGCGCCCCGCCCTGCTGCACCGCGTGCACTTGAATCCAGAGACGGAAATAAATCTCAGCGGGGCGCCCCCCCGCCCCTGCCCCGGCCGAGCGTCTCCTACTCCGCTCCTCCTTCCTCGCCCCCGCGCCGCTGCCAGGCCAGCAGCAGCAGCTGCAGCAGCAGCAGGCCGTGCTCCGCCAGAGAC